GTATTACATTGGAAAATCACCCAATCAAATTTCAACACTACTATACGTACTATACGTACTATACGCACTATACGTAAAGTATCGTATAGTGTCGTATAGTGTTCAACTATACGCCATTTGCCCATCTCTATGAATGGTCTTTTGGCGAATTGTAAAAAAAGACTTTTGACATTATTCTAACAAATCATTTAAATTGTAAAAATAAACTTTTGGTATGAATCGCAAAAGGAATTGAAATCCTTTAATATTATTAATGTTTGTTTTATTTTATGCACTTTTGTATATCATATTCATTCATTGTTTGTCCGTTTATTCGTTATTTAATATTAGTTGTGCGAAAAATTTTCTGGTGACTGGATTTTTTTGAATTTTAGCTGATGAATTCAATTAGTCGGCCATTCATTTACAATGAAATTATGCGTAATATAAAATTTGCAGCAGCCGTAAATATTTTATAATGGTAGTTACCATTGCCAATTACGACAGTTGTCTTTAACCGTAATTATAATAGGAAAAATAAATTTACACTTTAAATATCTTCTTTGAAATCCTATTTAAAGTAATACGTAGTATAGGAAAAATAAATAGCATTAAATTACACTTCAAATATCTTTGTTTGAAATCCTATTTAAAGGAATAGCAAGAAAAACAATAAATTAATTAATAACTACTCTAAAAATTAAATCTGTTATGCGGATTTAAACTCGACCTAAAAAGCATTAAAATTGTCTGAAATGAATATTACTTAGCTATCGCTTATTCCAAAAGGTATGCGTGTACGTCATTATATATATATATAACAAATGTCCAACTTTGTGTCAAGATTTTCTTAAAGTGTTATTTGTTTACCTGGAAAAAAAATATGTCAAATAAAAGTTTTTCATATTTTTTATAATTCAAGAAATGATTGATGCAAGCGTGATTTTTTTTTTCATTTTTTCGCATAAAATTCCCTCGAAAAATTTTTATTAATGGGCTCCCTGTAGTTGCGCAATGTCCCGCGACTAGTAATAGTAAAATACATGCACAAAGAATAGGACTCTAAAACAAAAATCTCTTCATTACATTAAAACTAGAGACCTATTCTATCAACTAATGAAGCTATTTTTTAAAAAGGTATGATAGAAAGTGACTTTTATACTTTTAAAATTTTTGTAGATTTAGGAGGTCTTTAGACAAGCCAACCACAAGATAAATATATTGTTGTTATTGATATTATAACTTTTATTTTTGATTAATAATTAATATTAAAGGCATAAATTTTATTCTTGTAATATTGAGTTGTATAATCTTCTTTTTAATTCCAACATGGTTGTAAATAATTAGTAAGCAGCAACTTTTTTTAGTTCATTATATTTGTTAGATATTAATTGCCAACACAATAGTCAATTATTACCAATTTAAATTTAGTTGTGAAGAATCATAAGTCATGGATACACTACCAGATGATGTAGAGGTTGGAATCGTCCAAAAAATCCTTGGTCGACTACTAGTTGGTCAAAATTTTCTTTGATTATCTTAGTTGACTATTTAGTCGACTAAATTTTTTTTTTATAATAATAACAAATAATAATAATATTTCGTTTTTCATTTCCATTTGAGTCTTTCACTTTTTCAAAATACTTCCACGTGTTACGATTCGTTTTTTTAAAGGTCTTCTGGAACCCACCGCTTAAATCATTGAAACTTGAAGCCAATGAACTATTTGACCTTGTATTGGAATTGTTTATTCATTCACATGTAAAATTATCATCAACAACACACTACTATTGTCGTCATCATCGTATTGATGGTATTGATACTCTTCCCCATAGAAATTTTTCATTTTGAATGATATAACACAAAAATCGTAATTGGTAGATAATAATAATATTAGCATAGTATTAGTATTAGTATTAGTATTAGTACTAGTATTAGTATTAGTATTGGCATTAGTATTAGTAGTATTAGTAGTCGACTATTAGTTGTTCAAAAAAAAGTTTAGTCGACTATTTTAGTGATTCCAACCTCTAAGATGATGATTTGTTTTGTTGCAATGTTGGTACTATTGAAGTGTAAGGATGGCTCCTTAATTAATTGTGACTAATTGTGATATATAAAAATTGAATTGTGGCTAATCGCAGTTCCCATCTTGATTGAAGTGTTTGGCTCTATTTGTGATTTATCCAAATATGGCGCTACTAAGCTATCAATATCATTTATTAGTGGAATATTCCTCTCGATGTCAAAAGTTCATCACATATAAAGACACTTGCCGTAATTGGTTATTTACGGCTGCAGTAAATAAATACGGCTACAGTAAATAGATACGGCTTTCTGTAAATAGATACGATTGCCATAAATAGATACGACTGACGCAAACAGATACGGCTGCTGCAAATTTTATTTTACGCACAAGCTTATACCTAAAATTACTGACCGCATATTAATTTGTCAATAATGTGTGGTCAGCGCACAACAATGCACATGATTTTGAGTTTGAATTTTAGACACTAGTTACGCGACCATCAAATTGGTATTATTAATGGGTAATGGTAATAATGTTATATACTAATAATAATAATTCTTATTGTATGCAAGCATTGTATTAATTCTATGGTATTATTGTTGTCACGCGACCATCAAGAAAAAAAATTTATCAATATCAAAATACTACTGTTTTATTATATAAATTTGTATAATTGCATATTAATTTTAATATTAGTATTAGTATGTATTTTTCCGCGAAAAACACACAATAATGCGGTCACGGATGATAAGAATCCTTAGTATTAATAAAATATTTTGTTAGGGATTCTTTACGGGTACGGAATAATCTCCCTATTAATAAAAAATTAAAGACTAATAGTAAAAAAAATTTCAAAATGAGTCAGCAAATTTGTTTAAAAGGTCTATTTGGTCACACGCAAATAAAGTTTTCCTAGTTCTATAATAATAATAACTCTATATCACAAGCGACCATACCTAATTTGAATTATTATTATTATTATATAGTTCACATTAGTACTATTGAATCATAGTTGTTATTGTTAATCATGTGAAAAAAAATTAAAGTTCATATTTTGATTTGTGCTACCCATGTTATTACTAAATTTTATTGTGATTAACTAGTGTAAAATTATTATCGATTACTATATTTAATTTTCTTTTTTAACCAGGAAAGCAAGCAAAAAAATTACAGGTATTTATTTCAATGAATTATCTATATTAATTAATTGTCATTATAATAAAATTACGAAGCGGGTGGGAGTCGAACCCACAATCCCCAGATCCGAAGTCTGATGCCTTATCCATTAGGCCACCGCTCCATGCAATTTGGTAACATTTATTAAAATGTTTTATAATAACTTTTTTAAGAATAAATTTTTTTAAAATAAAAAAGTCAATTATTTCTTGGCTTGAATAAAAATTATTATTTTACATTTATCATTTTATATTATTATAATTTATATAATGATTTAATATTATTATATTTACATATACATATTATAAAAGGTTTATTATTACTAGAAAAAAATAAATTCTAAAATTATTACCAATTAATCCAACCAATGTAACCAGCTTTAGTTTTTTCATTTATTAAATTTTCAATGAAATTTTTTGCGTCAAGGTAACATGAATGTTGTTGAACATGAAGTGCCCTTTCTTTTAAACTACCATCATAATCTATACTACCATATCTAACATAAGTAATCATTTCTTCTTCTACTTTAAATTGCCAAAACTTTGTGGAATTTTCTAAATGTCCTGATGGTATTGAAGGCAGCGACGACGGCGACGACGGAAAGTTGGGAAATTGATCCGAATTATTTGAATTTGTGAATTTAACTTTTTTTTGATGATGAGGTTTTTGTGAAGAAAATCGTGGAGTAGTTGTTATTAATTCCGTTGACATTTTTTATTTTTTAAATTTAATTTTTTTATTTTTAAATTTGAAAATTTGTTTTTTTTTAAAAATTGGAGTAGCCATCTTCTTTATATATTAAATGTTTATAAACAAACAAACTAAAGTGTGATTTGTCAATTATTGTTTACGTTATAATGATGTAAATTAAATATAAAAAGATTAAAAAAAATACATTAAGAAAAGGTAAAGAGCTACAAAGTACATATCAATAAATAAGTAATACACCATATTAATATCTATCTATTTCCCTTTGGTTTTTTTATTTATTATTTTTTTATTCGATAATTATTTAATACTTTCCATTTTTATCTTTATTTGAGATCATTTGATGAAAGAAGTAAATTTTTTTTTCGGAAAAAAAAAATTTAATATTCAACAAAATAATGTTTACATGACCAATAATAATAATATGATTAGTAATTTTTCCATTATAAAAAACATTTTTATTTTTTTCCCTTATTCATTCTCGAAATGGAACTCTGAATTTTTAAAACAAATATTTATTATTGCTGCATATTTGTTTAATGATAACGGGTTTATAAGATTATATAACAGATTATAATTATATGGCTTTTATAAGTACATAATCTAAAAAAACCGTTTATCAAAACCTAGTAATAAATGAAAATGATCCCAATGATTGGATCATTTTCAAAACATATACAATTTACACAAAGAAAAAATAGTTTATATCTAGAGTATTACACAATTCAAAAACATATTTTAAGATATTTTCTTTTTTTTAAAGATCGAAAATGTGATTTTAAACCATGATCGGATAGATGAATGAATAAAAGTAAATTTGGATTCCTATCTAGTACTGCCCACGTTTACTACCTACAGTATCTACCCTAGTAGCTGTTAGCTAGCTAGCTAGCCAGCCACTAATTTTAGCTATTACCACATAAATCTTTGCAAATTTCGTGGATCATGCTTCCAAATAAAAGGTTTAAATATAAAATTATTTAAGGTTACTATATTAATAATAGCATATAATAATAATTCTAATGCTAATCTATAAAGTAATGACGGTTGATTCATGTTCATCACATTAATTCTATAAATCAAATAAGGAACTATAAAATATCTAAATTCTAGTAACGGGGAAGGAATTAACAATAAACAAACTGCCGTCGAATAAATCAGAATCCATATAAAAGTTTGCCGTTTTGCTAACTCTTCCCATAAGATCCATCCGTTAATTAAATAAATTGGGATTAATAGGTATTTGATTAATGCATGTTGACGATAAATATTCTTCCATATGTAAAATGTATAATGACGATTGTCACTTAGTAAAAATGGATGTTCATACCTATTGTTTGTGTGGCACGTGTACGTGGAAATAATCATGTATTAAAGTAAATTTCAGGAAAAAATTTAAACACCATACATAATATTATAATGACTTACGTAAATTCGCTAATTAGATAAGCAATTAAAAGCATTATTGGAATAAACTTGATGGTAATCCTAAACATATATATATAATAAATATAGATTCATTATATCATGTATATAAAAATGTGACTATAAAAATAGTAAACTAACTAATATTTACCAAATAATTTTTTTACTAAAGATGATTTTAATGTGTCTAAATTTAAAAATTGCTGGTGACGATAGAAATGTTGTAAACGATATAAAATAAAATATTTGAGGAAAATGAAAAACTGGAACATGATTAGCTTTATCTCCTGAGATGGAAGATGAGATGAGTGTTGTTAGAACGAACGAATGATTGATCGATTTAGAAATCATAATAATCAAATAATCATATATATGTACAATCACATACCTAACACGATCCCACCATTAAATCTCAAAAATAATCCAAACCCAATTAAAATTAAAAAATAAGGAAAAAATATTATTAAAATATTTAATAGATTCAATACAATCAAACTAGCAAATGTTATTATTTCTGTTATTGCTTGGCCTATATAAATAAATAAAATAAAAGGGCATGATGAGTGCAAGTACAAAAATTGGATAATACAAATTCATATTTTTTAAATATTTATTTATTATACCCAGAGTTATATCTTTTCCCAATGAAAATAATTTCTGATTCCTATTGTTTCTATTATTACTACTTCTAGTTGATAAATATTTTAATATAGAGGTTCATAGAATAAAACATGTCCAAATAATGTTTGTTTGTCTAAATAAAATACTAATAAAACAACTCTATCATTATTAACATAAATTTTATATATATATATTTAGTAAACAACAATTTAAAAAAACTTGAAAATTATTATTTATTTATTTATTTACCATTGAACTGAGCCAATACTTCTTTTTAGTTGCTAACAGATAGCCAAATAATATAAAAAATACTGATCCAGCCTCAGTGTAATATAAAAAATTATGAAAATAATTAATTGGAAATATTGTCAGTATAAAAGTGTTTAATACTAACAATAATCTACTGCTATTGTTGCGGTCGTTGTTTTTGATGCTTAACATTTGATTAATTATTATAAAAGTTCCAATGCTAAATATCAAATTGGTCATTCTTAATAATTTAGTAGAACAATAAAAGTTTAGATTGTCATTGATAAATCTCATTGGTAATAAAATCAAATTGCTATAGACATATCTTTAGAAAAAAATCACGAAATAAAAAAATAAGAAAATTAAATCACAATCATATATAATAAATAATAAAATCGAACTCTTTTTTTTTAACTCACAATCCTGGTGGCGTCGTTATACTTGAATCCCATTTATCATACTTTCCTTTACAATATTCTTGAGCTTGTGGTATATGATAAATTTCATCCTAATAGATAAATAACTAAATAAATCAACCATATTACTACTATTATTAATGTTACTCGTTCAATTAGAAAATATTCACCATGTATGGTTCAGAAATCATTTCATTAACAAGATTTGAAATGAGTACTATTATAATAATATGTAAAATCAAAATAATATATTTCAACATTTTAAAAAAAAATTTTTTAAAAAGAAAATTTTGATTAAATCGGAGCAATATTCTGCCTTTTTTATTTCTTGATGAATCACATAACAAATATGGTGGGGTGCAAGTTAAAAAAAACTTTAATTGAAAATTTTATTAAATTAATTTACGATAATTTATATTAATTAATAACTTTATATCTTCCAAAGTATTTTATTAATCATAAAAAATTATGGCGATCTATTAATATAAAAAATTAAATAAACAGATTGTTTTTATACTTTATTTAAAAAGCAGCCATCACTCTCATATCTTCAATCTTTTTTTGAATTTCTGCAGGTGTACGATCCAATTCATCAGCTAAAAATCTTTTTTTCTCCATTGGCAATAAATTAAATTGTTCACACAAATCACCATCAACGATATTTTTAACAGGAGCATAGAAACTTCGATATTGAAGATGATCACGTCCTGCTAATGGTGGCGCCTCATTTCTCATATGCATCTCAAGAGTTTGGAAGAAATCAATATCTTCTCGTGTTAGAAATGGAACAAATACTCCCACATTACCCATTATACCTGTGTATACAAGGACTTCACGACCACCTGCTACCAAATTGGTTCTATGAATAGATGTGATAATATCACCAACATGATAATGAGCTATCATAGTAACCTTTCAAGAAAAGAATAACAATATACACAATATTTGAATCAATTAATTAATAAATATCTTTTTTAATAATTACAATTATAATAAATTAAAAAAGTTTCGTGATGATGATAATTACTTTATGAGGCGCACCCATAAGATATCCTTTTTCATACATAATCTTATTACCAGTAGGATCTTCATCCACCTCTTCACTAGTCTCGGCTGGTAATCTATCAATAAAGAAATTTCCGAATTTATCACCACCAGCAATTGTATCGTAATCTAACATTGTTGTGGTAGTGATCCAACGTGGTGTAGTATCATCAGCAAAAATAATAATTCGATTATCGTGTTGTCTATATGATGCATAATGAATTGATTCTTGAACATCACAAATAATAATTCTATTGCCCTGCGTATGCAAATTAACAATACAATTTGAAATTGCCTGATTTCCCCCAAAAAAAATTATCAAGAAACAGAATACTTGATTATTATCATCCCGCAAAGAATTAAAACGAGATATATTATAATAATGATAATTGTTACCTTTGATTCACATTTTCGTAAGAGTTTCCTTTTACCTAAATCATAAATTCTAAGTGCTTTCCCAACACCAGCTAAAAGTCTTCCTTGAAATCCTAATAATGCTAAAGGAATATCATCACATATTGTCTATAAAAGAAAAATTTAGTTAATTAAGCATAAAGATTTCCTTTGGAAATTTGAATTAAAAAACTTTTTTCCATAAATTTTTAAAGTTTACTTTGTGAATTAATTTTAACGAGTTTCCATTATCTACAAATTGATAAACATAAAGAAAACCAGAAGAACAAGTTCTTGGTGCTAAATTTGCATCTTTGGCAGCACCAACCACAAGGAATACCTCGCTATGACCATGGAAATTTACTGTTGCAACACTAAATGATGTTAAATGACATTGGTAAATTTTTTAAATGTCAAACACTTAATTTTATATAATAAAGAAATGTAATATATATATATACATTTGTACGCAATATTAAAATACACACCTAAAAGCTGCCTCGTTATCTTCAAGTTCAATCACTGACATAGTTTCGCTCTGAAATGGATTCACAACACGAATACAAGACGCCCATTTACCAGCTTCAGCTTTAGGTAATCCTAAAATTTCTTGTGGCAAATCAAAGATACTTTCGTTTACTTCTGTACCAGCATTGATTTTTGATTCTATTAACTTTTTTCTTTCGGTAGGCGAGTAAGTATTGTGCTCGCTTTCAATTATTACAAAGTTTCTTGAATTTTGATGAAGAACAAAATGACGTGGCGTGTATTTGAGCGGTATAGCTACTTGATTGAACACAGTGCCCAATTTCTCTACAGCAAATATCCTTAATGTGTTGGCTGATATAGCAACTATACCTTCAGGTACTTGCGGTGAAGTAAAATTTGAACCGTATTCAAGCATGTCATAAGAAAGCGGTGTTAGATGTAGTCTGGATTGAAAAGTATAGCTTAACCAAGGTCGACTCGATAAAGCAAGTACAGCTGGAGCTCCCTGTATTGTAACTTGAAACAATTTGACAGGACGTGCTCCGAGAAATCTATATTGTAACAATATAATTTTATAAATATCAATATTTATTTAATATCATGAATTTATATGAATGTGTGTAAATAAATTTAATCTTATACCTTTGTCTTGTATCCGTTAAAGCTCCAGTTATAGTATCCAAAACTGTTCTTAACAAAACACCATTTTGTAAACCTATATTTAAATATAGAGTTCCATGAGAAGCGTCCGTTCCAATATCCATCATTTCAATAATGACTAATGATTGTGGTAAGGCACTAATAGCCTATAAAAAATAAAATATAGGCCATGATTAAAATGAAAACTTATATATTAACAAATATTATTATTATATATTATTATTATATATTATATATAAACATACTTGTGTGCTAAGTATTTCTAAAGTATTGTCTGGATCGAGTGAAAGAATTCTTACAGCATTGTCATCACAACCTACAGCCTTTAATTTTTGATCAAAAACAACAATAAATTAATTAATTCAAAAAATAAACACCTTGAAATAAAATAAATTGTACATCATACCAAAAATCTTGAACGTTGTCTTCCTTCAGGAACCTCACCAATACTTAAACATAACACATTTGCTGACATTTCCTTACGTTCCTGATATTCATTCAGTTGTCCTTGACTATCCAATTCAAAATAAACCAATTCACCACCAGTCAAGGCTATAACGACTTGTCGTTTATTGGTAGCTGCTTTGACGATTGTTTTATTACCAGGAGTTTTCCATTCATTAACACGACGATCAACTCTAATATGTCTTATTCCTTGAGGATATATCTTATATAAGAAGCGTGAATTCAATATGAATAGATTAATTTGGCTGTATAAGCAAAAAATTATTCATAAAATAAATAGATGTATACCTGAAGTAATGCATCATTACCAAGTTGGTGGACATCTAAAGTAGGTGTTGATGCAAGAAATCCTGTATCTGTAACTTCTTCCACAGTCTCGCCAATAGATAATACCAATGTAGCATTCACAAATGAAACTATTATATAAGCATCAAATTCATCTATAACAATAAATAGAACAAAGGTATTTAAAAACACATTAATATAACCAACACCAACAATCATCCAATAAATAATTATAGGCAAACCTTCTGCTCTAAGTTTGGTGGTCCATACAGCATTAGGATTTCCTGGTAATTCTGAAACAGCCATTTCAGATACTTCTAAGCCATTTCTCAAGATTCTAAAAGTTGAACCTGCTCCCCTGCCGCACAAAGAATATATTTGAGGAGTATCGTCATCCATAAGATTTAGAACCTAAATAACAACAATTATTAATTATCATAGTTTTTAACTTTAATTTTTATTAAAAAAAAATTTTATTACTTTAGCATCAATTAATGGATTTAAACTTTCTAATTCATCAGCCCTTTCTAAATTTTGTAATTCTCTAAGATTAAAATATGCTACTGGTGCTTCAGTATCAGTATCCATAAAATCTTTACTAGACCATTCTGGTTCATCATTATCATCACCAAGACTTGTAAAAGAGTATAGCCGACTATTCAAAAAAAAAAGTTTTAATGTTTTTCAAAAATTTTCGGACTTTTCAAAAAAATAAATAAAATGTTTAAACTTACGGATTTCCAAATTCAGTAGCTACAAACAAAAAACCAGCTCTAAGTATACATAATGATACCGCAACAGGTACAGTATCAAAATATTTTATTTTAATAGCTTTTACCTTATCGTCCTCGCAATCAAGAGTCACTTTATATATATCACCTTCTTCACTTTGTAACAAAAAGAAAAAGACACCTTTCATTTTATGCATAACACCTGCCACTATGATTAGTCCACGCGAAGGATCTTCTAAAGGGTTTTTACGACGTGGTATTGGTATACGAAGCTCTTGAGCACGTTGATGTTTATAGGTGATAAAATTTTCAGAACATACCAGCACTCCTGATGGACCATCATTCCCGCCTGGGACTAAAACACAGACACAATCAAACGCAAAAAAATTAGTGATTATTATTATTGTTTTGCTTAAATGATTTTATTTAATATTATATATATATATATTGATTTTGAAGTTGTTCATTATTCTATATATATATATATATAAGTAAGTAATATCAATCAAAAATTATGACTGAATATTGGAATTTATATAATTAAAGATATTTGCCAGGAAAGAGTAAATTGGCTCTAGGATCAACAGGATCATTCCATTTTCTTACTACATGATTCAAACCAAGATCCAATTCATAATATGTAAGCATCTAAAATTTAAGATAAACAAACCAAATAATAAATATAATGAAAAATTCAGTTTGCTTTTTAAATCATACATATTGAAACTTTTATGCAAACCTTTTCAGTATTGTTGAAAGCTTCACCAGATGGATCAAGATCTGCTTCTGAATAATCAACTTCCAGACATGCAAAAACTGGATTTTCATAACCAACGTCAAGCCCTATGCAATTATGTACAAGTGTATGTGATTTGTGTGCTTCCAGCGGTGAAGATATAGTAAGATTGGCTGCGGAATCACGATTCAGAATATAAACGAGTTTTTGTTTTTCAATTGCACCTATAATTTTCCATCATTTAATTAATTATATAACATTCTAAAAATACAAAATTGATAAATATATATATTAATATACCAATCATAACAGATCTTCCTTTGGGATCAACTGCTAAATATTGCCCAGGTACAATTCTTCTACATCCCGATTTTCCAAAAGTTTCTTGATGAACTTTATCAAACCTATTTTTAGATGGATTATATTCTAAAATTACTACACGACCTGAATCTGATCCAACTATAATATAATCTATCAAACAATAAAAAACAATAATTTATTAATATTTTCTTTCAATTTTTTTTGATATATATATATATATATATATATATGTCATCATAAGTACCTTTGGAGCCACCAGTTAGCCTGAAAGGTGTCAATGATCTTATCATCCCAAAAATGTCATAAGCCAAAAGTGTTTGTAATTTACCAGAGTTCTGGTCAGCTCTAATAAGCTCTAATCTTGTTATTCTAGAAATAACTATTTCTTGTTGTTTGGTTCCCGAAAAATGTCCGACTACTGCAACATTAATTGCAGTAGAAGGTTGTAAAGTCAAATTATACAGAAACATATTTCTATGTATTTATTTTTTTTTGAGTGATTTTTTTTAAAAAATAATCTATCCAGATTTGGACTGATTTTCTTCAAAAACTTTCACATGAACAACCTGTATGATATATCACATGACCAGAGTTCACTCGGTCTAAAGACCTCCTAATTTTGCGTAAATTTTAAAAGTATAAGTCACTTTCTGTCCTACCTTTAAAAAAATAACATTATTAGTTTATAGAATAGGGCTTTTAATTTTATATAATAATAAAAATTATTTGTTTCTTTTTTATATATATGTATTTACTATGTTCGCGAGGAATTTGGCACTAGATCATTACTAAATTTAGACATGCGTATGATGATCATATCTAAATTTGGCTGTAAGAATAAATTTTAAAACTAAAATCACGTGAAGTCATGATTTTTGAAAAATTGCTTTTTTTGAAATTTGGCCATATGGCGCAGCAATATGGGGGTATTTAGACCGAGCCAACCATAGAATCATATCACGCGTTCGCATCCTACTGTTAATAGACAGTGATATATATGCAAATTAATTATGGAAGCAAGAGTAGCAGAAGTAAAAAAGTACAAGTTAATATTAATAACAGTATGACAAACATTGAGTAAACAACACAATAACATCCAATTTACCTTGTTGACTTGTAAGAAGTTTGACAAGCTTGATTTTATTTTCTAGTCAGTGAGTCATTCATATAAAAAGAGGATAATAATAAATGATCCATCATGATTAAAGTTTAACCCAAAGCAGCTTAACCACAGTTTATATATTTCAAACCAGTTGACAATGGTTTAAGGTTCCAAATTGAACTTTTTTTAACCCTAGTTTTCAGATTAACCAATAATACTATTACAGCATTTCGGGTTTTATGATCATCATTTTTCAGCTAACGTTTATGATTTACATCAGAAAATTTTTTTCTGGCATGAATTTACACTATATATGTAAATTTACATTCAGTGCAAATATTACAACATTATTTATGAGCATAATATATATTGGGAAAATTTCCTGGTGCTATAGAAACAGTTATGCTAGGTAAGGCCAGTCCCTGTATTCTATGAAGTGTAATAATAATTATAACATTGCAACAAAATAACTTTGAAATAAACAAATTTCTTGCAAACAAATATTTGACATGCTAAAGGTACCTTACCCATCTTAATTAGTTAATCTATCCAAGTGTTCTGGATTCCTAAATATTAGGGTTCTGCAAGTGCTCATGCCAGGTCATTGTTGGCTCCATGATTATGATGTAACAAAATTTTGCATTATTATTACATTAATTTAATCATTGGTCATGTCATAATACACATTGATAAAACAAATGGATAAAAGATTGTTCATTTATCATTTAGTAGATTATAAAGAATCAAAATTTTAAATTAAATATCCTACTATTTTTATTATAAGTAATGAACTGATTATTATTTATCTATTTTTAAGTAATAGGTGAATAAAAGAACCCATTGTTTTATTATATTAGGTAATTACAAAATTCAAATTAGCAATTCCAACTATATTAATATAAGCTTCATCACCTACATTATTATTCTGTCATACTAATAATCTTTGTATCTTTTAAGAAAACATTACAGTTGTTTTGCCATAATGGTTTTTCATTTGACTTAAAGAGTTCAAATAATTACAGGGATAATTTGGCAACTATTAATTATGGAAACTAATGGAAACTAATTTTATGATCATTTATTAAGAAGGACAATTATGGTGAACAACTATATGGTGAATTCATTATTCAGATTAGTAATTGTAATTGGAATAAGAAATTTGATAGATCTTTTGAGAAACAAAGAATTTTATTTAAACAAAAGATTTTATTTGTTTTCTGGGGGGTTTTTTTTTGCCATTCACCCACTGATTTCCTTCACAATAATAATTAAAATTTCCTTAACAACTTAAATTAAAAGGTTTACGAGTGCATGTAACAAACTTCACTTCTTGGAGAAAATAAATATTCTCATTTGAAACAGTCCTATCATATCTATCTAAGTATGTGACTTGGTAATTTTAGTAATTAAAAATTATCATATTAAAATTCTTTAAAACCTTAAATTAAAAAGCTCCCTAGTTATATGAAAGAAACTTCACTTCTCGAAGAAAATAAATGTTTTCATTTGAAACAGCCAAACCCTCTCCCAATTGAAAGCATTTAATATAGATTAGGTTCTATATGGACTTCTTATTAAATGTCATTTTGAACCCAATCAAGGCAAAACTTAAGCTTTTAACAATGATAACTTTATTTTTTTTTTCATCGGCTGTACCAAAACTCTTGTGTGTAAAACTTTTTATGATGAAATGTATGTATGTATGTTGTGAGTCAAATTGTGTGAATTCATAATTAGAGATTTTGGGACATAATATTCCGTGGCTTATACTAAATTTCAAATGTCGATAAGTCGAACACAGCAATCAATTATTGGTACTTACTTGATAATATAAATAAATGACCGACTTATTGAGTTTTACATGTGAACTTTAAATTCACACACGAAAAAACGCGCGCGAGGGGATAATAATAATAATAATAATTAATATCTACGTGCAACATAGAGTCTAGTTGTTTTTTTATATTATGATTATAATAAGCTTAATAAGAAATTAATTATTATGGTTTGATAGAGAAATATATACATAGTAATAGTAATAGTAATTTAAATCAGCACTTTTTTGTGTAAAAATAGACCCCTGAAAATTTACGTTAATATCAGGTGACAATAATAAATGTTATTATTATGATTATGATTCAAAAAAAAAAAAAAAAGAGCTCAAAAAATGGCACATAAAAACTTATTCGTCATTAACAGTATTAAAATTCATTTTTTAATTAAAAAAGATGTACCTAACAGAAGTAATATTGAAAGATTGATTAAGGTATATATGTATGTTGTAAAAAAACACAACGAGATCATATTCTTATGTAAATAATATTTAAATCTATCATAAACTAGGAAAATGGTGGAGAAGTAGTGACAAACGCTGAGAGTGCATACTGGATACTAGCAGACACGTCGAAAAAACAAAAATTTAATAGTAAGGAAGAGGAGGATAAAACAATGTCTTATAAAATAGTCCTTGATTCGGTAGAACGAGAAGTACTCCAGATTCCAACTAATTATAAAAAAGTACCTATAGAGAAAGTACGTAAATATATATGTAGAAATTCAATCTTTCTATATTGTAAATTAATAATTGTATATAATTATTATATATGTATTTAGGTTCGTGTATACACGGCCGAAACATGGAAAGAGAAAGCAGCCACCAAAATAATACCTAATCTAAAAAAATTGACTCAGGAATCTCTTTCACATCAACAACAAAAGCAACCGATTTTAAAAAAAAATCGTTCTAAACGTCAGCAACATAAAGAACAAGAATATGAAGAACAACAAGAATATCAAGAACAAGAATATCAAGAACACGATGAACAAGAAACACCACATCTAAGAAGGAGTTTGCGACTACAAAAAATACAAAAACCATCGAGTAAACCACAAAGGGAACTATCAAAAAAGAAAAATGTGAATGTAATTGGTAAATTACAATCTTCAGCAGTTTTATCATCTTCGCCATTAGAAGCTTTAACATCATCACCGTCATCATCAGCATCAGCATCTTTAGCATCATCTTTAACATCATCTTTAACATCGTCACCATCAGCATCTTTAACATCATCACCAGCAGCTTCGCCAGCTTCCTTGCCCTCCTCATCTTCATTCATGATCACTCGAACTAAAACATCATCAGGCTCAAGTAAAACTATTATTAAAAGAAATCGTGATGTTATAGAGATCACTTATAATAGAGCAAACGATCATAATGATGAGAATAATGATGGTGATAATGATTCTGATAGTGATCATGATCATGATAGTAATGTTGATCATGATAATGATGGTTATAATAATCCTAAAGTTAATGTTATAATTGACTTGGATGATGTACCATCACCACCACTAATTACACAACATTCTGATCAAAGTGATGATAATCATGAATTACCTAGTCGAAGTCCACTTTATTATCCTACTTATAGACGATTTAGAAATGCTGATTATAATGATGATCATCAACAAACAACAAGAGATGTAGGAAGAGGAGGGGTAATAGTAGATGATGATAATAATGAAAACGAAGAGGAGGAAGTAGAAGAAATCATTTATTATAATAATAATGATGATGAAAATTATGAAGTAGTAGAAGAAAATCACTATGTTGATGATGATAATTACGAGGAAAATTATGAGGATGATGGTAACACTTCAATCGTAGGAAAACAACAACCAAGATCACCACCATCTCCTATTGAGACTCCTTATTCTAGGAAAAGGAAATATAACAAAAAAGATTTTTGTGATAATGATGAAAATGATGAAAGGGAAGAAAGTTATCCTCGTATTGAGGTTGTTAATAATAATGATAATAATAATAATGATCGTAGCAATAACAATAACAATAATAAAAACAATAGCAATAGCAATAATAATAATCATGCTAATAGTAATAGTAGTAATAATAGCAATAATCATAATAACAATAAAAAAGTAAAACTTCATTCATCTACTACTACGCTACCTAATAAATCAACACAATTGAAATCGACAAAAATATCTTCTTCCTCATTAGAAGAACAATCGAAATCATCGCCTAATACAACACCATCAACTATTAGAGGATCACCATGTTCAACCAAGTCAATTTCACCTCTTTCACTTCGTTCACCATTGTTACTACAAATGTCATCACCAGTAATCCAATCATCACCAGTAACAGTCAACAACCCCCAACTCCCATCAAAATCACTTTCACCACCCCATTCTCGTCCTAGATCTCGACCTTGTTCTGTATCACCAAATGAAAGACCTATAATTATCATTGAAAATAACATTCATAATCGCTATCAGAATATTGATGAACGTGATAATAATGGTGTTGTTGTTAATGAACAGAGACGTGGTAATGGTGTTTTTGTTGTTAATGGATATGATAATAATAATAACGGTTCTGTAGTTTTTAGAAATGTTGACAATAATGATGGTGATGATATTTTGGTGTTAAATGATCAAGTTGAAGAAGATCGATTATTGACACAATATGATTCAGATCGCAATCTTAAAAATGCTCGTGATTTTGAAGAAGATGATAGTGATGACTTCATTGTTGATTTTGATGATAAAAGAGCCAAAGAACTTTTGAGGTTATTTGCGTGAAAATTCGATTATGAAGAAGATGTTGTTCAAATAATTATAATTATGTTTATAGTCATTATTATAAGGATGTTTATGGCAGTTAGTGAGTTGGTTTTGACGTTTTTCATACTTTTAAAATGACTACTTTTTCCAAAATTTCATTTTAATTTAAAAAGGATCATTTTTTTTTTTATAAAAAAATTATATTATGTAATGATGTAAAATATACATATATATTTTTAATATAGTATAGTATTAATCAGATTTCATCAGTATAGTAATAGTATAAGGATTATGTATTTGTCAATAAACATACGGATGATAACATTTGCTTATTAGGAGATGATGTAAGGTTGAAATATTTACTTGCTAAAGAAAACGTGTAACAATTTCGTAGTCCACATAATTATTATAACGATCAAATTTTATTATATCAAAAACTCGAAACATTAATATAAGATAAAATGTGTGTAAAATTGTCAAACATGTAATTGTGCAAATTCACAACATAAAACAAAAAAACAAAATTACGGGTCTTTTAACAGAAAAGACCATATTCTGTAAATTTGATAAAAAAACCTTCACATTTTCCAAAGCAATCCCAGATATGAAAATGGGTTTCTGTTGTAGCTTACTAAGGTTTACTAAGCCTGATAAAAATTCTACTTGTACAGCCTACAAACAGCCTTCAACACAAAACTCTCTCAAAAAGCAAATCTATCTACTAGCTGCACAATATTTACTTGTCTCATTCAGATTAGTGTTTTGCTTCAATGGCTGATACAACATGTGCCCATAGGACTTGATCCACATCAAGGAGAGTGAAGTCTACTTAGCCTTGAGCTACCCATGTCCTTGCTGCTTGACAGTAGACACACAAGGAACTGGTTAAGGTATTGCCAAACAAGAATTTCATTATGCTTTCTAGATTGCTCGTTAGTATTTTTTGTATGATCTAAAATATTAAAAAAGACACTGCGCATTTACAAACATGAATACATTATTATATTACATTCATTGAACATTTGTATTCAATGTAATCATTTGTTTGTGAAAATGGTCATTTTTGTGAGATCAAACTCAGTTGGCAAGTTGTTCAAGAAGGTCCAAGTGTGATGCTTATAAAATGTCTGAGAAGAAGTATTTATTGGAGGGATTGTTATTGGTAAATCTGATGCAGTTGACATTTATTCTGTCAACAATAATTTGTTGTCCAGTTTGAGAAACAGATAAAAATGATAGATTAGATTATAAACCATTGTATCTTTTGACTAAGTGCATTAGAAAATTCACCTGAAACACCTTTAAGTATTATTGTTAATGAAATGGAACTAGATATGTGAGAAAATGAAAAGAAAAAAAACTATAAATTAATCTATAAATGTTTAAATATAATAGTATAATAGGTTTTGTGTCTTTTTTAAAATTTCTTCATATAATAAATTTTACATTAATTAATAAAATTTTCATTTCAAATTCAAATAATTTATATTTACCAGTCCACTTGTACTGTATTAGAATAATTTAATATAACTTAATCATTTGCAAAATTTCATTGAATGATATTGCTTTATTACCTACTCTTCCTGTGTTCTTAGTTGTATATCAAAATCATTAAAATGATTTCTAACCTATACCATAGATACCCTTGAACACAGTCTTACAAATTTCAATTTCCCCAAAAAATAAACATTTGCCAATCTCCTCATTTTTCTCCTTTAGTAGTTCTTTCATTTCTCAGACTACACCCTATAAAGAGTATCTTGTTCAAATTTTTTTAAACCAAGAGAGCATTTATAACATTATTAAAATTTAAATTCCTTTTCAAGCATTCTTTTTGATAGGAAACTCTTTCTAGTAAATTTGTTATATAATGGTTGATATCATTATCTATTTTCTATTTGCTCCTTAGAATTAATAATTTGGTCATCTATTATTTCATTTTTATTATAAATATTTTTGAATTTCTAGTTGTATTTTTGACAATGATTCTGTTGTATCTTTCCCATGACTTTCATCCACTTCATCATGACTTTCTTCTGCTTTGTCAATTATTTCTTCATTTTTGAATTAGGCATGTGGGTATGGACAAGGATCTAACTGCAAAAAAAAATACAAAAAAAAAAGGTCATTTCTATACAGTATAGCCATTGTTTCAGTAGAGTGACTGGACATATAATAATAAGAAAATTCTATTTGAAACAAAATTACTAATCGTGTTTCAACAGATTTTTATATGTTTCATAATGTGTAAACAAAGATTTTTAAAGTCCATTGAAATGTGAATTTAATTATAATCTGTTGAAATAAGGGTTATACTGTATTTATGACAAAAATCAGGAGCTATTATTTAACAACAATAATAAGTATAAAAACAGAATGAATCTATCTGAATAAACCCTATACTTCATAACATTCAAATAAAACAATAAACTATAAAAAAATAAACCAATTAAAAAATTGTAACATCTTAAAACTTCTGCCTTAAAAATGGTTCCCTGAAGCTATTGTAAATGGTGTTGAAACTCCCAAACTAGATCCATGTTTGATATGTAATGAAGAAATTTTTTTGCACCTACTTAAAAATCATTCATTGTATTATCCTGTTGACATATCTTCCATCATCTTTACCTTGGGAATATCAGAGAAAATATAACCATATGCCCTGTCAATAATTGCATTGCAGAGATTGAAAGCATAGAAAAGTCACCACTAATGTGAACATTATCCAAAAGAAGTATGAGCATAGATGGATTGCAAGGTAGATTATATAATCAAGTAATCAACATCACTTCTTTAGAGAATGATCCATTGCATATTGGTACATTGACTGCAAGTACTTTACCATATAAATGTGCTGGCAAATTAACTGGCCCATAGAGAACTGATGGACCTTTGACTGGTCCATTGCCATTAATATAATACTAAATATGGTTAAAATGTTACATTAATGGACCCAATGGATCACAAATGGATTACACATTTGCCAACTCTGTGCTGGTGAGCCTATATCCGTTGGTAAGACAGACCCTGGACAAACAAACCCCTGCAGGAGATAATACCACTTCTTACCCAATAACAGTCATTGAAGCCAATCCAGAATCTATTGATTTTCCCAATTTGTATTGTAAAATTACTACAGCCAAACATGATATTCAGAAACCAAATAAAATACTTCAAGTTCTACTATGAAAAATATTATAATGTGAATGATGCTAATAGCAATGTCGGAAAAGAAATCAAAAAACAACTTCCTATTGATGTTTTAGAAACAATCATCAAAAGAGAATAGAGAGAGCCCAAAAAATTTTCATCTTTTAGCAAGGTAGGAAAGGAAAAAATAGGACGAGTTAAATATTTCACTGCATCGATGATTTTTAAGTTAACTTTGGATTAAATCATTCATATAATAGAACAAATTCCAGATAAAACCCGACTTGTTAATCTAGGTCATGCTCACATTTGATAACTTCAATAGCATGTACCCATAGCAAATTGACAATCAACACCAGTGAGATTCTGAAATACATATAAAAATAGTTGAATTTGCATAATTTTTCAACTTCATAACTATAACATTCAAATAAGTACAATAAAAATTTGTTAAATCAATCAAACCACATTAATAAATAAAACATAGTAAATCAATTAAACATCACAAATTAATCAAAAAACATGTTAATAAATTAATCAATAAAATATAGTAAATCAGTTAAAAAAAAAGTTAATAAGTTAATCAATTAAAAACACATTAAAAAATAAAATTATATTAAACATCATTCTTACATTTATTGAATCAAAGTTTTGTTAAGACTCTTGTATCAACTATACATGCTATGGTAATTATTTTGCCAAAAACGTAATACGTAATACGTAATACGTAATTACGAAATTAATTACGAAATTAATTACGGGTGACGAAATTAATTACGGGCGACGAAATCAATTACGCGTGACGAAATCAATTACGGGTGACGAAATCAATTACGCGTGACGAAATTAAATGACACCTATTATTTATCTCGTTATACTAGTATAATGACATAATTTGACAACTTTTTTTAGAAATATAGAATTT